AACATACAATTTTACAAATCAAACATTAATGATTGAGTTTCGAAATCATCATTTTCATTTTTTTATTATTTCTTTGATTTTTCTATCTAAGAAAATTTACATACTAACGTAATATTTGTTTGGATTTGGTGAGTTTAAATAAGTTTGAGATAACTCATAATCTCAAACGTATTCGATTTACATTAAAAACGTTTACATTCAATCTAAATGTAATGCAAATTAAATTTTGTAAAATAAAATATATTTATCTATATGAGAGAGATACCATTTGATATTTGTTGTTTCTAATTTTTCCGTATATTATGAAAAAAAAATTATGATTTTTATTTTCAAATATTCTAATTATGCGTTTGATATGAGACAAAAATCTATTATTAATTTAGTTTTGAAACTTTTAGTTGCCAATATAATATTTTCATGTATCATTTCAATTAAATACGAACCGAAGCCCATTAGGAATAATACTTAGGTCATTTTCACATGGGAGTGGCTGGCTCCATTCTCTATAGCGACTCTACATTTCTAAAGAGCCAAACTTAAAACATTGAGTGTCAATTTGTTTTTCAATTCTTTATATGATCGTGGAAAATCTTCTTTTCTGGCTCTTGGATGCCCATTTGGCTTAACACTATTTGCTTATCCTCATATGCAATAATTATGTCCCTGGTCTCATTCCATGTAACAAATACTCCACATAATTTTTATTACTTAAAAAAATAATAATGTATACAAACCCCTCTCTATGAAATCTTAAGTTTTAACCATGTGCATGATCAGTTGTTCACATCAGCCATAAGTACTTCGCAAACAATCTACACTACAAAAAAAAATAGGTGAATTGTATCACTTAAATAGTATCGTTTAACTGAATAATATTATTTTAAATTATTTATTAATAAATGATTTAAAATATATAAATTAACATCACTTATGATCAATGATGTTGTTAGTGACTACCTTAACATCAGTTTAATAGAATTGATACAAAAATTTATTAGTTTACATCATTTAGTAATAGTGACACAAAAATATCAATTTACATCAGTTAAGATAATCGAGATATTTGCTAATTTTTTGCTAACATCACTTAAAAAATTAGTACAAGATTTACATCAATAAAAATTGATGCTAATCAAATTTGTATTTAAAGTAAATCAAGTTGTAACTGACGAAATACTCTACGATCTTGTTGTTTGTTTTATCCCACATGGACAATTGATAAAAAGTTGAAGACCATCTTTTCATATAAATATGGGAGAGTGCCAAATGGTAAGATAGCAAATAATATTGATTGATTTAGAATTAGAATTTTTCTTTTAACTTTATTAAAAATTTATAGTTCAAGTTTAACAATGAACGTAGTATAATTTTTTTTTGGGATAAAAAAACATGATATAGTTATAAAATCAATTAAACAAATGATATGAATATTCAAGGGGCAATTACAAAAATGCCATTTTTTGTGTGCACATTTGCAAAAATGCCACTTTAAGGGGCATTTACAAAAATGCCACTTAGGGGTGTCTATTTATAAAAATGCCACTAATGATAGATTTATAAAACCTATATTTTAAAATTCTAAACCCAAAAAAATGTTTTGACACCTAAAATCTCCTAAACACTCAAAACTAAACTCTAATACAGCATAATTAACCCAAACATAAATAATATAAAGAAAAAATAATTTTGAAAAAGTGGCATTTTTGTAAAGATCTCAAAAGTGTGACATTTTTATAAAATGGCACTTGAAAAATGGTATTTTTTGAAATTTCTCAATATTCAATATCAATTGTTAGAACCGAAACAAATATATAACATCATTTATATAAACTGATGTAAATTTAGTTTCATTTTCATAGGCGACACATATTAACATCAGTTATAATAAATGATATAAATATTTACGTCAGTCATTGATACAAAATATTATAGTCATTATTTTCAAAATCACTCATAGAAATGATGTAATTTCATTTGTGTCAATCAAAAAATGATGTAAACTAATAAAATAAATGATACAATCCACCTTTTTTTTTTAGTGCTACTATTTAAAATTTCACTAATTACTTCCATGTTCCGTCCGTAAGTTATGATTTTTCAAAAAATTTATTTGATCTATTTACAAATATATTACTACGAAGTTACGAGCTATTCAATTATGAAATTTGTTTGGAAATATTTTTTTTTTTTTGAAATTCAACACTTATGGAAAACTTATTGTTTAAAAACATGTTCATCTTATGATTAGTCCCATGCCATGGTGGAAACATCTTATATCTATGAAAAAAACATTCATTTAGACCTTAAATACGATAGAAAAAAAATGCAAAGTGTCCGTA